TGTGTGGTTGCCTTTCACGTGCCCCGCCCCGTACTAGGGACTGGCCCACAACCCAGGCTTGTGTCCTGACTAGGAATTGAACTGGTGACTCTTTGGTTCACATGCCAGCACTCAATCCACTGAGCCACATCAGCCAGGGCTATTTTTCTTATGTATAATATCGCAAAGAAAGAGTAGTCACTTTTATTGATTATTACACTTAATAATATTTTTCCATTGTTTCTCTCACTTTCTGAGAACTGTATGTTGTCTTTTATTCTAAACTTAGTTTGACATTTTATCCTTGTAGTTTTCTCAATTGTTGTTCTATATGCTTTGAAAAATTGTTATTAGTTTCATGGAAATGTGTTACTTTGGAAACTTCTTTTCTTCCTGCTGCTTTTAACAGTATGAAAAGACCCCTTTGTCTCTTTTAATGTTTCAATATTAGCATCATGACATTTGATGTTTGTATAGTACCATTTTCTAAATTTCCTTTTTTTGACCTTTTTATTCTGAATCTTCCTATGTCATTGGGTTTGAGGTATATCTCATAAATATAGTACTGGATTTTGATTTTTTAAATCTGATATAAAGGTTCTTAGCCTATAACTAGTGAATTTAAAACATTCTCATTTATTGGATTTCTGTTATGTTTGGAATTACTTGTTGTTTTGTTTTTTCTATTTATCATGTTTACCAGTTTGTTGTCCCTTTGCCCACCTTTAACTAGACTGATAAACTTTTCCTTAGTTTTATATTTTTTCCACTATTTTACAAATACATTATTTTTTTCTACCTTTTGTGGTTACCTTAACATTGTTAATATAAATGGGCAAACATATTTTCCCCCCTAACATCTAGAGTTGATCAGTTTCTCTAAAATTCCTGAGGGGTGGGGGAAGAGACTCAACATACTTTTATTTTCCTCTGCTCCCTTGTAACTTTAATCTCTTTCAACTTTTAAAGCTCATTAATATTATTTTGGTATTTATGTCCTACTGGTTATATTTTTAAAATGTAAATATGTATATTTACATATTTTTAAAATACATATTAATTTGAACTTAATGTATTTTATTATGTTTTTTTTGCTACCCATTACTTCTTTTACTTTTTTAGCTCATTCCCTCCTCCTGGACTTATTATCAATATTGGTTTATACTGTCTAGCAGTTCTTTCAGACAGAATCTTAAGGTGGTAAACTTCAAAGTTTCTTTCAATTTAAAAAATATTTCTATTTCTGCCTCTCACTTGAATAATAGTTTGCTGCGTGTACAAGTCTGTCTTCAAAGTTATTTTTCCCTTAGAATGTTGAAGACACTATTCTACTGTCTTGTACCCTGGGTTGCTCACATGGAGCCTGATATCTTATTTCTTTGTAAGTAATCTTTCTTTTGACAGAGATTGCTTTTAAGCTTTTCTCTTTATTCTTGATGTTCACAAATTTTATCACTATATATCTAAGTGGGGTGTTTGTATATGTGTGTGTTTCATCTTTATCCTATACCCAAGAGGGTCTTTAAAGTTCTAAGAAAATTTCCCATAATATTTCTTTAAGTGGTACCATTCATCTCCCCCCTCCCCCCCCCAATTTTCACTATTTTGTCTTTTTGGAAGTACTTTTAAATCAATCTGAGGACCTCGGTGTCACACATGTATCTTAAATCTCCTACTTTCCATGTCTTAAGGTGTGTTCCCAAATATCTGACTTTGAGTTGTGGTATCCTTTGGAGCTCATCTGCTTTCTGTTCTTCAGGCATTTCTCACAGTGTCTAGTCTACCACTGTTTATACTTTTCTTTCCAGTTATTTTATGAAATCTTTTCTATTATGTCTAAGGATTTGGCTTAAGGATGGTAGATGTAAACAGTGTTCAGTTTTATAATTTAAATACCTTTTCAAGTTTTGGAATATTTGTTAACCACACTCATCAGCTGTATAGCAAGACCAGATAGGGATTTGGCAAGGCAGGTGGGTCAGAATTGGCTAGAGAACCTTGTTACTGAATGTGGACCGACTCGGGGCGCTGGGCAGATACTATTACCAAAACAACACCCCCTTCCCTGGGGTCCCTCTGTTCTAAGTCCTTTGCCCACCACCCTTAGAAAATATGGCTCACAATAGCAGAGTTTGGTGAAAACCAAAGGAACTGTTTAATCAAAAGTTATACAGATTTTGAGTAATGGCTAAATGTCACCATTAACTCTCAAAATCCCTTTTAAACACCCACTAACACACACAGTTCTGCCTTTCCCCTACTGTTGCCCAGTCAGGCCAGTCAGGGGTACTGTCCTTCAGAAGAAGAACAGAAGTCCGGAGCTCAGCTAGGTGGCCTCTCACAGTTCCCAGCACCATCCGCTGTGTTGCCGCGATCTCCAGTTCTTAATGCAAACCCACCCGACATGGCACCTTCTCATGGCTCACTAGCAAGAGTCCTTTTTACCCTGTCTTTCCAGCATGGTCTTTGCATTGTTCCCCCATGGCCTGTTATTATATGCAAAGTAACTCTCAATCGCCCTGTTCCATGTCTCCCATCTCCCATGGCAGCCCACTTTTTTTGAGGGGGGGAGAGAATATCCCATATTTTTCTTGGACACCCCACGTTCTGGACACCATTACAAATCCCCCCTTTTGGGGGGCCCTGGCTGGACCCCATTACAACCTGAGGCTCTCATGAGTCTCCGTTTGGCTTGGAGAGCTGTGAAGACCTGGCCGTGGTGGGAGTCCAAAGCAGGCACATGGAGGCTGGGAAGCAGCTAAGTTTGGAGGTGATGACAGGAGGGCCCGTGGTAACAGGAATTGGACAGTGTGACAAGCTATGAAACCCGGTTCTAGAAAAGGAGTATCAGAGTTTGGGATTTTTAAGTGGAAAAATTCCCAGTATTGAGGGATCCAAGGGATTGGTCTTTGTGAGTTGATGATGTGGGAGAAGAGATCAGAGAATACAAGCGCCAAACATTGGAATGGCTACCCTTATGGAAAATGACATGTCAAATGTATAAAATAACAGAGTTCGTTTGAAAATTGCTAGTTATAAAAGTTGTATTTTTAAAAGATAGCTTGGCAAATATAACATGTAAGTAGATGAATCAGTGTATATTTCTTTATGTAAAATATCTGATTTTATACTGTTTCTTCACATGATGATGAAGCAAAACACAACTTTCTTTCTCAGGATCCTAGACTTTGCTACACTCTTCATGTAAGAGTTTTGTGATTTTAGACCTTGTTGGTACACACGCATACATGCCTTAGGTTAAGACCGCCTACCTCCATACTTGGAGCACTATGAAGACATGTATGAATATTCATCTGACCATAATAAAATGCTATTGCCTACAGAAATGGTTCTTTCTTATCTAGTTACTATACATTTCTCACACATGCTGTGGCCCTGTTGTTGTCCCAGAGAGACAGGAATTATTAAAATAAATGTCAGCAGCCCACAGTTACATGTATTTCAATTTGTATTAGAATTAAAGGGGGTATCAGGACGTCCTAAACTAGCAAACATAATATATAGAAAATTAAAAGTCTCTGTATTGAGAATCTGAGCATTTTATTATTTCTTATAAAATTTCAGTGTATCCAGCACTTAACATTTAACATTTCAACATTTTTAGACTGTTTTGTGTAACCCTATGTTGCTAGTTTAAAAATAGAGAAGGAATAGCTTTGCTAGCCCACACAGCTGAGATAATTTGGCAGAAGAAAGTGACATGTGAATGAGTATAACTGGTCTTCAGGTATGAATGGAAGTGTTCTTTGAAATTCAAATTGAGATCTGAGACTGCAGATTAGGAATGAGCAGAGTAGTCAGCCTGACGATATTTAAACCTTAATTTGGAGGGAAAAAATCTCAATACCTCTTGTACAGCAGGAATCTCAGTTGATTAAAGCTGCTATTTAATACATTATTCCTGAAACAAGAGTAATGGTTGGAGGAAGAGGGTGCTAGAAATCCGGACTTTATCATGCTGAAAGTTCTCATCTTTGTAAGAATAAACTTAAGTACTAAGTAGATTTAAGCAGTACATGACATGAGAAATCCCCTGCAGGAAAAATGGTAACGTCTTTGTTAGTACTATTTAAAGCGATGATATTGTATTCATAATCAGTTGAGCACTTGCTAAATGCCTAGCAAAGTGCTACTCAGCTTTTGTACATTATCCTTCATCATTAAAACAATCTGGTGAGACAAACATGGTAAATTTCTTTTTATAGGATTGAAAGAACTGGGAAGCTAAATAAACATCTGGTGAATTTCACCAGAATAAACAAATAATATGAATAATTTGGGCCTAAATTTTAAAAAGGTATTATCTATGAAATCATAGCTGTGCACTGCCAGTAACTTGATTAGCTTTTCAAAATGATTTGATTAGGACACACATTGTAATGTAATAACATGGAGTAATGTATGAAGTGCCCTAAAATACATGTTATTTTTGTACAAGGCTATTAGCCAAACTATTTTATGCTTTGTTCTCATATCTTGAATATCACACTTATATAATAGCAAAGTAATTTTTCCTTCTTAAAGCCTGTTGGTATGTTATCTTAACATTGACACAGATAAAACAACAAAGAATTATTGGTTATAAAGGAAGGATAGAGAATGCAGCCAAAAGAATTATGCAAGATGTCTATAACTTAAACCAAAGAAAGGACCACTGCCATAATTGTATGTCAAGAAAACATTCAAGTAAAGTGGTAATTTTAATTTCCCTTGAGTTTAAATTTACATTTAGACTTCTCATAAAAAAATTGAACACGTGAATGGAATTAGGACTTTTTTTTATCACAGATATTGTAATAAAGACTACAGGGTTTCTAATTTCCATAAATACTTACTCTGTCACAGAGGGGAGGTAGACGTTTGAAATGAAAAGCAATGCATCAGAGAGGAACAATTGTCTGAAGGACAGGTGATTTCCTTCCCGCCCCCTGACCCCCCCCCCCCCCTCGCGCCACCAGCTCCGGCCCCATGATCAGTGTGAGTCTTTTTTGTTTCCACAGAGCATCTGTACAACCACCACCGCATTTTTGCACTTTTTCTTCTTGGCTTCATTCTGCTGGGTGTTGACCGAGGCGTGGCAGTCATATATGGCTGTAACTGGAAAGATTAGGACACGGCTTATAAGGAAACGCTTTTTGTGCCTTGGATGGGGTAAGCATGTTAATATACTCCTTTGTGCTCTGGTTCAGATGACTTTGAATACTTACATAATAAAGCATTAGAGTGTAATTATCCTAAAGCTACTTTAATTTGTGTTTAATTTGATTATGCAAGTGAAAATAGGCATTTGGAACTTTAAAAAAGTAAATATAGGATGCCCTCGTAGGTCACCAGTGATGTAAGATGAGGCCTGAGATATCTACGGGCAGAAAAGCAAAGTGTTCTATGCTAATATATTCTGCAAATGCAAACTCTTTTAAAATGTACAGGACCCAAAATCATGTACATTTATCATGTACCTCCCACAAGAAAACTTTGAGGAATGCCTAAGAGCACTCAAAACAATTAAAGACTATAGCTTGCTATTCATGTTATAGGAAGAAAGCCACTCAGATTGAATGAAACCCCATGGGTAGTCAGTTGGTCCCTCAAAGGAAAAACAGAATTATTGACAAACTGAGAATTAATTAATTCTTTGCCTATCTTTATTAGGAAAATTTTCTCTTAAATTGGCTTATGAAATAGACATTTTGAAAGTCTATGCCTTTCATAGGACCAATTCTCATGTTTAATTATAATTAATTAATTAATTAAATTTAGAAGACTAGTTTTAGAAAAAACCCAGGATTTTGACATGAGTTTGCCTTTGAGTTTCAAAAGACTTGCACCAGAAACTCTGGGATATTTGGACCAAATATACAACAAATGCCCAATGTACCAGAAGAATGGAGAACAGAATGCTTGAGAGAGCCTGAAAAATTTCAAATAAGTGGATTTATTACAAAACTAGGACAATCCATGCTGGAAAAATAGGATAAAGAACACTTAAAGATTATCCATCAGGTTTCACCAAGGGTCTCTGACATCTGACAAATGTATTTGGGCTCTTTGCTCTAGTAAATAAATGAGAAAGCAGTTAAGAAATTAGAGAATGCATTTTACTTACACTTTCATAAAAATTTTGTCTGGATTTCATGTCAAAGACCTTCCAGACTTGGACTGATATTGAATTTTTTCATCAATTAGTATCATAGATCTAAGACACATAGGTTGCAGGTAAAGAAGACTCTCCTTGAAGTATAAAGAGTAGCAATGTTCAAGATTGGCAATTGCCTTATTTAATATTATTACCAAAGATCTTGAGGAGGGGTTTCAGCTGGTCTCTAAATTTACAGCTAATATTAAACAACTTTGGGTAGCAAAAATGCTAAATTGATGGCTCTAGACCATCAGGAAGTCTGTAAATGGGCAGACTAGCAGCATGCAAGTTTTATTATGGCAAAGTGCAACATAGTAAATTTAGAAAAATTTTTAAAATTTTAATTGTACAGAATGAAGACTATTCATTCTTCAACTATGTCCTAGGAGAGAATTTTTCTTTTCTAATGAACTTGTTCTAGTCAATCAAAAATGTCAACTAATGACATGGAGGAAGAGGAAGTGGAGGAGAAGAATGGGAAGGAGGAAGAAGAGGAGACATGTGATATATTATATATAATTATACATGATTTATGATATGTGATGTATCATGATTTAATTATACATGCATGTGTGTGTGCATACATTTGTATGTATATGTATATTTAGAGAGAGACCAATATTTGTTAAAACATAAGGTGTGTTCCTTGGAGGTGCTCTCCATAGTTCTTGTCATTAAGTCTCATAAATGAATATGGAGTGACTCGAAAAGACTGACAGAAGAGGATGGTAGGAAGGAGGGAAAATGAGAAGGAGAAAGAGGAGGGGTGGAGAGGATGCAAGAAGGTGATTACATGATGGATTTTACAATTGAAAAAGGCAAACATAGTCTTTAGGAAAAGAAGGTACCGCCAGAACTTACAAAAGAATTTAAACAACATAGATTAGACTGAGCTCTTGTCATGAAAATACAGGGAGGTTCCGTTAAACTTGAATAAAGTATGATTCATACAAACATAAACTAAAAGATGTTAGGTCAGATTTGGTTCAGGTGTGCGGCCAAGTGAATTCCAGGAGAGACTGAGCAATGCATAAAGTGCTACCTATCTAGAGGTCTGGGAAGAGAAATTGGCATATATTTTCTGATCTTCATTCAGAATTATTAAAGGGGAATAATCAGGAAGCACAGAAATTAATTCATTAGAGCCCTTAACCCTGTTCTTACATTCTTGTTATTATAAGTAGATCATAAGGAATTAAGTGATAAGATTAACTTGGATGTGGATCAAAATTTGGCCAACTCAATGTTCCATTTCTGTGATATTCCATCATACAAGGACATCCATTTTTTTTTTTGCCTTTCTGATTTTATAACTATAAATTTTCTTTATAACAGTGTAAACCCCTAGGGAAAAATAATTTAAAAGATATACTAAATCTCTGTTATTAGTTTCCTTTAAACTCATGTCAAATGCGGTGGTAACCTAGCAACATCAGAGAAGTGCACTGAGTTAAAAACCCAGCTGTCGCTCTCATATTTCTGTACTTCAAAGAAATTTTGTAATGGAAAGATACTTTATGAAGTGATTCATCCAAAGACATTCCTCCAATTTAGGCATTTTGAGTTTATCCAACCTTTTTTTTGAGCCAGTATGCACAGTGGTTAGAGTGGAGTGTAAAGTGTGACAATGTGTTTCTTACAGGTTTACCAGCGTTAGTAGTGGCCACATCAGTAGGCTTCACCAGGACGAAAGGATATGGCACTGATCACTAGTAAGTCCATCCACTGTGATAAGTTATGTTTATAGTCACTTCATTAGTCTTGGTTGGCACTGCTGATGGCTTGCATTTTGTTATTGAGTCATTAGCAATGGTAGGGATAGCATTAATGAGAAATGATGTAAGGTAGTTTAAATGCACAAAGTTAGGAAAGAAATGCACAAACACTGTTCAGAATCCTTATTTCCATTTCTAATTTTTTCATGACACAAGTGTATTTGATTTTTAAGATATTTCAGGATGCACGTACACATTCAATCTCAAACACACTTTTTTTAGAAGTAGGTAAATATTGTTTACCTTTTCGAATATGATCTGAGCTTTTAATTTTATTGATGATAATACAAACTGGTATCAACCAAGTTCGATTGTTGTTGCTACATTAGGGTAATACTGAAACTTACAGAACAGGAGAATCAATAGATTGCAGATAAGGAATTGCCTGGGCTATGAAAGAAATCCGAAAGGAGAAAAAGGGGTGCTGTATCATCCCATCCTAGTCATAGCTGTGATATGGATAAATTGTGTGTGAGAATTTACAAGTAAAGCTTATATTTAATATTTTAAATGTAAAATAATGCACTTGCATATTTTTACTTCATCATATTTTTCAAGATGAAGCAATTGAGAAACAGGGAAAGAGATGTGCCTCTTATTGTAAGAATAAGGTTATTTATTTTTATTGTTTACACTATTACAGATGTCCCCATCCCCCCGCCCTTGTCGCTTCTGCCCAGCCCGCCCTGCCTTCCCTCTGGCCATCACCACACCGCCGTCTGTGTCTATGGGTTATGCATATATGCTCTTTGTTCTTGCTCCTTCATGTTCTTTCATCCGGCCCCGCTTCCCCTCCAACAGCTGTTGATCTGTTCTATGTATCCAAGCCTCTATTGCTACTTTGTTCATTAGTTTATTTTATTCATTAGATTCCACATATAAGTGAGATCATATGGTGTCTGTTTATCACTGGTTTATTTCACTTAGCATAATAATCTCCAGAAGAATAAGATTTAAAGTGAAGTGTTCTGTTTAACTGTCTTTAGGTTGAGGTAAGAATCACAGCTAAGTAGGCCCTCTGGTGGGTTGATCCAAACTGAATGCTGCAAGAGACATCACTTCACCTGCTCATCCAAAAGAAACTTCCAAAGAACTTAAGGAGTTTGTGTTATCAGGGCACTTTTTTAAAATGCCATCTTGTAACATCAAAAGTAAAGCAAAACCAAAAATGCCTCCCTAATAGCATATGTTGAGCAATGTTTACTACAGTACTATTTCCCTCTGGTAATAGTACGTGTTTGGTGTAAATCCAGTATTTGAAAGGCACCGTATTGGGGGCAGGGAAAGAATTAGGAGTATGGATGATATGATTCCAACTTTCAGGGAGTATTTGATAAAAACCAAATACAATACAACACAACAAGAGTCATAAGTTTGAAGATTAATTTACACAAAAATATAGTAGAAATTTAATGGCAGTCTCAGAGACAGCAAACTGAAGCATTCTATCAGACTAAGAGTTTTTTCTCAAGGTATTTTATTTAAAAAGTTAATATTAAGTTGTCAACCCCAAAGTGGGAAAGTAGAATTTTATCTCTCTGTTGTATGGGAAAGAGCAGTAACTAAATGCAGACTTCGAATATTCACATAGACACACATTTGTATTATGAATGTATTGATACAGGTGTGGGTGTATGTATAATTCCAACATAAAAAAGCTAATTAAGGTATAATTTGCATAGAGTAACATTTACCCTATTAGGTTTAGAATTCTATGAGTTTTAACAAATGCTAAAGTCATGTAACCACCACCACAAGCAATACAGAAGTTTATTATTAGAACAGATATAGAACAAGTATTGTTAATTGTTAATTTTGAAGGCAGCATGCCAATTCTGTGGACTGAAATTAATATAGAAAAGGGTCAAATTGGTGGGTGAAACGGTAAGCATGACCCTTGGCAGCAGCCGTGGGCGATTGGTCCCTCCTCCTTTCCGCCTATGACCCTCCCAAACTGCACATGCAAATGAGCTGCCTTGCAAAGCCCCCAGCGCCGAGCCCTGGGCCCCTCCCTGTCCCTGTACTGCCACAGAGTGAATATTTCTACACAAGTGGGTTGCTGTGTCCCTATCAATGCAAACCTGCCTCTCTTGGTGAATTTAGTAATCAAAAGTTTATCATTAGTGAATTTTCTTAGTAGTCTGGGGGAAAAAGTAAAACTAGAAGAGAAAAGCATGCAAACTTTAAATTATCCATTTGCCGCAATGATGGCTTTTAAATCAATTTCTCCCAGTACCTCAATGACCTCAAGGAAGATTGGGTAAATGGCATGTCTAACATGCTCAAAACTGTTCTTGCTTAAAAATGTATTTGAAAAATTCTATAATGGATATAAGGCAGCATTTACAAAGCTTAATAGTCACCTTTCTACTGAAAGTAAATATAAATACTCACTGCAAAAATAATTTGTCTAAAACGTTTTAACTGCCTGAAAGTCAGACTATATAATAAAAAGTTTCTTTTCCGTGAGAGGTATACTCATATAGTATTTCTCTCTCACGAACTCCTCTAATTTTAGCTTCTTCCACATCTTCTATACATTTTTTTTAATTACAAAGCTTTGAAAGATGCCAAAATTCCAAGGCTAGGTGCATGATTCAAGTTATTTGTATCACACTTTTGTGGTTTAACACATAGCTAATTTTTGTTAGTTTTTATCTGATTTCATTTTCAGCTGCTGGCTCTCTCTTGAAGGAGGACTACTCTACGCTTTTGTTGGACCTGCAGCTGCTGTTGTGCTGGTAAACTTCGAAATCAACTTTGTTTTCTTTGAAATCAACTTATTTTTTTTTCTTAGCAGAGAAAACACTACTTTGTTTCAATTAGAGTAATAATTTTATGTTTGCTGTGTAGAAATTTTAAAGTTATATGAATTATTACTTAATGTTGAATATCAACTGCCATCCAGTCCTTTATTACTCTGAAATATTCTTATGTTGAAGACTGAAGAAAATTAAATGTGAGAGTGTGGAATTTCTCTTACAGTAATTTCATATTTCTGAAGAAGTTTAAGTTTTAAGAAATTCTTTAATGTATAGAATATCATCATCTATGATCATTTCACCTTTACACTATTCTATATGATCTACATAGTTATTAAGACCTCTTAATCTTAATAACTGCTGCTGCTACCAAGTATCAATGAGAAAAATAGATAGCCTTATGTCAAAGTTTCTCAGCCTCAGTTCTGCAGACATTTTGGGCCTGCAATTTCTTTGTTGTGGGGGGCTGTAATGTGTATTTAAGATTGTTTAGCACATCCATGGCCTCTACCTATTAGATACCAGTAGTACCCTCTAGCAGTAACAATTAGAAATGTCTCCAGACATGTCCCAGTGTTTCCTGGGCTTAAAAAATCACACACAGTTGAGAATCCCTGCCGTATGTTGCGCATAAGGATTTAAAATGTTTCTTTTTGGAACTGTAAAATAATTCCTATGCATGTTTAATTGTAGGAACATGAAAATTTCCTACCAATTTGTCCTTCTCTCTCTGAATTTATTGATTACAAATTTTTCTTGTCCAATAAGTTTTTGGAAAATGTGAGGGTGTAAAGAAATGGTCTGAATTAAATACAAAGATCTATATCACTATGCAATGAGATTTCTAATTGGAAAATTACCCTTTGGTTTCTTGAACAACTCATTCAATAAATTGGGAGCTAGCAGCACTTTTCATAACTCTGTGACTTTTTCTTCCTTTAAAGTTTGCTCTCTAAACTATGACAGAGAGCAAAAACTATTAAAGTTTCATGAGAGAAATCAAGTCTAGGCATGAATGTTAGAGAAGAGCATAGGGAAACTGAAACCATTAGATACACATTTACTGCATTGAATTTTTATTTACTCAATTGGATTATTTCCCTAAATTACTAGGCTAATATACACATAACCCTAAAATGAAGAAACAAAGAGTATGTGTACAATTGAAAGACAAAAGTATGGTTTTTGGCCTGGTGATGAATCTCCTTATGATTAAATTGTAGATAAATAGAATCATGAACTATACTTGTTCTCTTAGTTCACATAATGAGAAGTGTGAAGATTAGTCTCTTGTTTAAATGGTGTCTCATCAGGAAGCTATTAAGAGTGACATTAAGTCCCTACCTAACAAGTGCTTTGGATCTTTCTTAACCAGCAATTAGATAGATTTCAACTTTATATTTAATCTGGCCAAAGTGTATTGAGAGTTATTCTTCACTAGTTATTTTCTTAACTAGCTATTCTGCTTGTGAAAATCTAGTATCAATGTAGTCTTCACTAATTTGTGTTGGGAGAGCACCAAGATTCTGTTGATCATGGGGTAGGAAGGAAAAAAGAAATATTTTCCTTGATTATCTTGGTTTCAGCATTGGACTGGATTCCTTTATCAGGAAGTGTGAGTAGGTTAGAGAGCATTGGGCACTCATTGTAATGAGCTGCTGCAAATAGACCACAGTTATCTCTGCAGCTTTTTACAACTTTGCTTGAGGAAAAAAAAAATACTACATGTGTGATTTCGTTTCACCCGTATTTAAATCCTTTTAAGTGAGAGTAAGTGTCTTAGAAAATGCTGAGAAGTGTTCAATAGAGCACATTATAAGAAGTGATGTTAGTGTCCCTCTTTAAAAGGATGGTAGTGAGTTGAATAGGCTTTCCCCTTTGACTAGAAAAATGCGATGCATCAAAATGCTCCCCACCCCACAGGAGAAATGGCCACACAGCATGAGGAATTAAGCAGCCTGCTCTCCCTGCTGGGGGCTAGGAGTAATCGTGAGCACCTTTGGCAGCCAGGGCTCACTCTAGCCTGACACAGTGAGACTCAGAATCTTTTGACTCTCAGGCATAGGGTAAAACTCATGTAGCCAATTGATTTTATTCAGGGGTGACTCAGAAGAATGCCAGATTGGCATAGTATGGCACCATTTAAAAGTTAGGCAGCTGAATGTTAATTTTCTCAGTGTTAACTGCAAAACATGAAAATCAAATGTACTTAATGTACTTTAAAACTTTAAAGTAACACACCACTGTTATATTGTTCCGGATTCCTTTATGCACTTAAAAAATATTCGAGAAGTGCTTCCTGTCACTGCTATTGTGAGTCTTTACTTCTGTGGTGGTTGTAAATTAATAGAGATGGTTTTCAGGAGAAAGAGACCTGATGCCCTTCAATATCATTGAAAGGTCAACCTTTGTTTCTGTTTGACAGGTCAACATGGTGATTGGCATTTTGGTATTTAATAAACTTGTTTCCAGAGATGGGATCCTAGATAAAAAGCTCAAACACAGAGCCGGGTAAGCTGCAATTGGTGGATTTTGAAGGTTCTTTACCAGTGAATCCCATACTCCAATTCAGATCATCATTGACTGCATTTGACTGTGCCTTGAATTTTGTTATCGATGAAACTGTGTGTCTGATAGATTCTGCCATTCAAGCTTCCAATGTGCTGTTCTCAAGTCATGTTGCCAAAGTCTAAGAATTTAAAAGACCATTAAGAAAATCTGGTTTTGTGTATATAGCCTGTTTGTAAGATAAGATTTAAATGTGAAGGCTAGAGTTAAAATACTTACCCTTAGGTGGGGGTTTTCCAATCCCCCTAGATTTGTTCACAGAGGACATGAGGGTATATTGGACATAGTGTCAGTTTGAGACATAACTGAAATGGGGCAAGCAAATCTTAGTAGGGAGAAAATACTGCATTTTCTTTGATTACTTGAATATATCAGAAAAATTCTTGAAATAATCATTCATTAACAGTATTTTTTATCATAGAGTCTCATTCTATATGACATTTTAACTATAACTTCATAGACAAAGTTATTTGTCATTTTGTACTTGCACATTTTAACCATTTATAAAATTTAGAAAATCATTTAACTGTTGTTTGATCACCATATCTAATGACTTAACATTTTATAAACAGACTGATAGCAGCTTTTTAAAATTATATCATTTCATCATAAAAATGTTTAGAAGCTTGAATGAAACTTGAATGTCTTTGAATTTCCCTTTGTATGTTTTATAAAGTTTATAGCTTTCTCCTTTCTGTTTAACTATACCTTTGTTCAAAACTTAGCCTACAATTGTACAAGTTTCTTAAATAATTCATGGCATTATTTAATAGTCATAGTATTTGATAACCAGCTGTTGAGAATTTAGGTCCTTTGTATTTTACAATCTTTGTAGTGATAAGATAGTTCAGGTATTTTTCCCCCCTAGTAAAAGAATAGGTTTAATAGTTTTCATTATAAAAATTTGACATCATTCATATTGAACATCAAAACTGCAGTTGGTGTAATGCAAACATCATTGGAGGCTCCTTTTGGAGTGGAAAAATCACTTTTCTTTTAGAGACTCTTTTTTCACCTCAGAAGAGTCTCCATAGCATCTTTAAATAGGCAGACTTGGATCTGTACAGACTCTGAGCTTTCTATACCATTGAACTTAAAGCTTTCACATTATTACCCTTGTTAGTCTGCCATGTGTGGTTGGAATTGGAGCAATTGCTTCTTCAGTTATTTTCATCTAGATTAATGATGTAAGAATAAATCAGTCATATTGAGTACTGGGTATAGAAACTCAGTGCTGCCACTGTAAGTATAAACTTGTATAATTTTTTTTAATTGGGGGCACAGAGAAGCTAGTGGTTAGGATAAAGCTTTGAAGTTAAAAAAAAAAAAAAAAAAAAGCTATGCTCAGTATCTAGCTCCGCAATTTGCTAGTTGTGTGTGTGTCTTTAGGCATGTTACTTATTCTCTCTGCAGCTAAGTCTTCTCACCTATAAAATGGGTATAATGACTTTTCCCTCATAATAGAGCATATGACCTATAATGTGTATAAAGTGTTCCTTAGAGCATCTACCAAATAGAAAGCACTCTCTCAACAAATGGTGGCTATTGTTATGATGAGTGAAGTGACTAAGCTAAGCTGGACAGGTTGTTTCGGAAGGACCCTGACTTCTATTAATTACACTTCAATGATTCCACTATTCATAACATTGATGTCAGAAAAAGGGGTGAGACCATCAGAACGAGTGTAATGCTAAGGGTACATTATTTAAATTTGCAGTCAGTATTCTTCTCACTTAGTTATTTATATGTAATATCCAGTTTGATTCACACAGCTCTTTGTAAAAGATAACACAAGCTTAGGAGAAAGAAATAATAACATTGTCACTTTATGAATTTAGAAATTAGCTATTTCAACCTACTTATTAATTTTAAAACCTCTATTTCTAAAAATATGATAAGGAGTTACATCTGTTTCGCTGATAAAAACTGAATCAAGCAGTGTTTTTCTGGTGCAAAGGCCACTGCTGGAGAAGTGGAAATGGTTTTAAAAGCATAATACTGGTTACTGTCCAGCTATTAACACATTAATGATTCTAGGATAAAAAATTATCTGTAATATAAAATGCTGTTTTACCTTAAGTGTATGTAGATTGAAACTTGCTTTCTATTCCAACGTGTGATTGAAAGAAGTTTTTTAGAAGATAGGAGTATTTGAAGCTTATTTTACTTTACAGAGAAAGCACTGAGGGCAGTAATGAAGACTTCAGTGAAGAAAAAATAAATCAGAATTAACTAAAGAAACATCAAGCAGGAAGCTAAGCTAACTGATTAACTTAACAAGTGATCTTCCTAATTGTAAATATTGCCTCTTTCAGGTGTTTGAATGTACATATATACCATGTGTTTCTTTTGAAATGTTATCATTAAGAATCAAATATGGTATGAAGACATTCGTCTTCCCATTTTTTCTGTTTCTTTGTCCCCTTAAATTATTAGAAACTGCCAAAAATATAGTTTATGTTCAATAAATATTTAAAACAAATGAGTGATGACTATTTAACAAATAATACAATAGCTTGACAAGTTGTATAATACCCAAACTAAATTAAAATGTTCTAATATATAAAATATATTTATTAAGGGGGGATTTATTACTATATCAACATGTCTTATATGAAATAATTGGAAAGAATAAAAACAAGCTAAAATGACATGTGTCTTTTTAGAACACCTCAAAGAAAATATTTCATTTTCTCTCTCTTGCTGCAATGGGACTTCTCATCTACTATGTTATTTTAAACTGCTTTACCTTATCTACTTGAAATTAGGGGGACTACTATACCAGGACCTTGTACATATCTCATGAAATTTTTCTGAAGGGAGGAGGCATATTTTCTTTCCAGGGAATTTTTATAGTATTGATAAACCAATCAGACAAAAAATTGCTTTTTTTTTTTCCTAAGGAAAAGAAAAAGGAAATTGGGAAGAGAACTAGAACTTGTAGACTTGAAGACACCCCACCCCCACCCCTGCCACACACTAGGTCTAGACAGAACAACCTGGAGAAAGTAGTGAAACGACCGATGTTTAGGCTTTGGTGACAAAGTGGAGTCTGGTTACATCTGAACTTATTTTTCTTTTAGCTGTTAGCACCTTTTGTTTTATAAATACGTAATTTCCTTTACAACAAAGAAGCAAGAGTTTATTTTCCATTGCAGCAACTCAGTTTAGCATCTAGACTACGTGTTCTTCACAATACATTAATGTCCATAGTGACCATGCAAACCAGGAAGAAACTACTAGATCTCTCTCCGGGAAATCTATCTGTCCTCTGTTCCATCCACATCTAAGAGTTCCAGAGGTACCCAACCAGGACTGTCAAGCATAGTTTTCAACAGCTCTGACTAAGGAAAGCATGTGTAGGCCTTTTAGCCAGTCTCAAATCTCAGAGAGAAATGGGCATTTTAAATAGTTTTAAAATACACTTTTAGAAAAGCTCATATTTATTCAAATTACTTTTTTCAGGACTAAAATACTTATATTGTGTACTAAAATTATTTTTAGTAATTGTTAGCTTTTCAATCCTATGTTAGAGCCTAGAGGCATGGCATCCTTCAACTTGAAAAAGTTTTGTTTGTGGAAGCACAAACACCAAGTAGCCTATTTTCTGTGATAAAGGAAATAATAAATGACTAAGGCATGCCTTTCGGTATTAATCTAGTGGGATGTAACAGGATTGAAGACCCTCAAATGAACAGTTAGGGCAGTGGTATTTATTCCTATTTGTCCATCAGAATAATCTATGGAACTTTAAAAAATACTGATGTCTGCATCCCATTAAATGAGAGTCTTTGGAGTTGGGTATATGTATAATACTCAACCACTGTGGAGAATGCTGATCTGTATACTCATTTGGGAGTAATTTCAAACACATTGGCATGTCCACGGAGGCATTCATGAACCACAGTGGAAATATGCCTATTGGTGTCCTGTTATTCTGAAAATTTTAGAGAGATGTGGCTAGTGCATATGTCCTCGGTTGAACCAGTAAAGGGAATGATTTAGTATTATATTCCCCACCCTCACATCTAACTCTGAAAGCTTTGATTTTTCTCATGGTGTCCACATATCAATCTACTTTCTTAATAGCTTTCAGATGTATTATCCCATCCAAGCACTATTTACAAATGAGTGCACTTCTTTAAAAGACACTGTGCATTCTGAATTATGAGCCTCTTATGATTCTGCCACTTTTATTATTCACATGGTAATGTAACTCCACTATAATAGCATTAACCAAAAAACCCACTGGGCAAACATATTTTAGACACAAACACCACATGGCAATGGATGAGAGAAGCACACCACAGGAAATTATTTCAAGGTGTTTTGAATTATAATTCACATAATTTCTTTTTGTTTTTTCCTGAGAGGATTATGTTCTAATAAAACAGTACTTTTTCAAGGACTCTTTCCTAAAGCAAATGAAGTTTTTCTATATAGTATGACTTTGCTTCTTAACATAGTAGATGGAACTTGAATTATTCAAATCCAAATTTTCCTGCAAAATTCTTTAGACTAGAAGAAACCATATAAATGCAATTAGATGGTGTCTATGACAAAATGTTCAGGAAAAATACTTTGAACTTAAAGAATGTTTTGAACTAAATAATTACATTAAATGTGTTATTAGAGCAGAAAGCTATCACTCTTTCTATTATCAACTAATATTTCATCAAATTTCATCAGCCCCTATATTCAGATCATCCTAAAATATAGATAATACATTGATGCTACAAGAAATTTCAAAATAAGAATATTTTGAGACAAACGCTCTACCTTTCACAAATGACTAAAGACCTAAAATAGGTATCTTTCTATATTGTACTTCTGAGATACATATCTACATTTCAAAAGATTTTAATTGATATTATATGCCTTTTGCAACTGATAATGAAAATCTTTGAAGCTGGGAGTCCTTGTTTATCAGGGGTCTGAATAAAGGGTTTTCACTGTATGTCTACACAAACACATGCTTATGTTTAACTCAGTGTATTGGCAACTTTGGTCTGCAGACACAAGGGCCATTATGGTATAAATGATGGAAATGTGCTTCGCATGCAACAAAGGCCCAAATTATTAAAAGGTAAATGTTACAGAAATAATGCATAGTGAAAATGTATCTGTAAAATGACCTAGAACATTCATTTTTGATATACTTTTCTGCATGAAATCGTATTTAAAAGCTAACTTGCAGCAGCAACTTTTTTTTGGTGACAATTCAATATTTTGTTCTTTTTGTGGGTGTTCTGTTTGTTTGCAGTCAGATGAGTGAGCCTCATAGCGGTTTGACGCTCAAATGTGCCAAGTGTGGAGTAGTTTCAACAACAGCTTTGTCAGCCACCACCGCCAGTAATGCCATGTTAGTCCCAATCATTTACATCTTCTTGTTACAAATCTTTTACAGTGCATGTGAGAAAATGCTATGGAAAAAATCATGTTTGCTAATATTAGAGTTAAGAGCATACTTAAATATTTATAATTGGCAACTGCCTTTATAACTATTTGGGGATTGTCTATAAAAAATAAATAAAACTATCAAATGTTTATCTGTTTTGTGGTTTCCAAGTTAATGATCTTGGTGCCACATAAAAGAATGCTTTGTTGAAGGGGGGTTTTGTTATTGCCTGGAGAGTAATACGCAGCTTCATAATGGTGCTTTCTCTGTCTCTCAACAGGGCGTCTCTTTGGAGCTCCTGTGTAGTGTTGCCCCTTCTGGCTCTGACGTGGATGTCTGCAGTACTGGCCATGACAGACAAACGCTCCATATTGTTTCAAATACTTTTTGCTGTGTTTGATTCATTGCAAGGCTTTGTGATAGTCATGGTCCACTGCATTCTTCGGAGAGAGGTAAGAAATGATGCTTAGTAGAGTAGCTCCTTGTTAACAAATATCTTTTGTTTTAGTATCTTGATCTTCAGATTAAAGCTGGTCTTCTCTAAAGACAATCATTTTGGAGTCAAAGTTAAAATGAAGGCCTAAGGCAAAGTTCAAGAGGGCTCCATGGACTATGGGAGTGATGGATTAAAATATACGGGACTATGCAAGGGGAAACACACCCGAAGTGCCAAGAACCAGGGAGAGCAGGTGCAAGAGAAGCTATGATGGAGTCATATGTATAGAAAAATCTGTTAGAAAAACTGGTGGATAAAAGGATAAGGTGTCATATTTATAAAAGGTATAATTCGTAAGCATAATGCAATAATATTTCTTAAATCCATTCCCTAACTTGTGCATCTGTACACAGGATATCCCCAAACCCCCATACTTAACTAATTTTTATTTAGATGGAACTATTGAGGATGAATAAACAGTTCTTTGGTTTCTATACTAAGTTGAGGATCAAGTTACTAACGATGATTTTTTGATATGGATATTTTTGCTCAGAAAATACAAAAAGAAGTGCACAGTAGAGAATGATAGGGAAGGACTGTAAATCCATAATCATAGCGTTTCTCCAGGATGTGATTGAGGTTATTGTCAGCAGTGAGGGAAAGAGGTGATCCTTCAAAGTTGAGACACTAACTTTCACCAAAACCATCCGGAACAGTGATTGATTTCAGCCTTGAGTTGTTGAGGGATAAAATACTGTTTTCCAACCAGTACAAAAAATATTCCGAGTGCTTACAAGCACTGACTCAGTATTTACAAGGCTTATGAGTCATTTTAGCATTTACTCTGGGGACGGTGGTGACCAAAACACACAGTGACACAGTGCCATGCTAATAATTTTGAGAAAATGGTCTAAGCTGTCATTTTGCATCATCCATCTTGTTTGAAAATTTTATGATGTGCAAAAAGACATATGTATATCAGTATACAACACAAAGTTTTGCAGTGATGTGTGAAGGTAACCTAAGGTTTGTTTGTTTATTTGTTTACCTCATTTGCCAGACAGGGAGAACAATATCTCTGAGCTACGTTAGTATGACACAGATGTCAGCAATAAACCCATATGTGTATTCTAAGAACATTATATGATGAAAAGCAATGAAAACAGAAAAATAGTGACTTCACATTGCAAAAAGAGGGTATTTCATCATTTTAAAAATTTGATCTAATTCACAGTTGCCAAGCTTGGGTATTTCCTCATCACAAATTTCTGCCGAAGATATCAGCATTAAAAATCTTCCAAGTATCAAATTTTTTAAAAATTTTTTATTTATTTATTTTTGGAGATAGGGGAAGGGAGGGAGAAAAACATGTCTCGGCTGCCTCTTGCATGCCTACAACTGAGGACCCAGTCTGGAACCCAGGCATGTCCTGATTGGGAATCAAAACAGTGACCCTTGGGTTCGCAGGCCAGCAGTCAATCAATCCACTGGGCTATACCAGCCAGGGCTCAAGTATCAAATTCTTTATAGACCAAAGTTAAGTAAAATTTAAAAGGAAATCGAGTAATTCAGGGCTGTGTGTCCTCCAACTATAACTTTTATATGGGTCCTTTGTATTCATATTACCTCTAGTAGATTTATTTAACAAAATTATTCTGAGTAGACACATGATGTACATTTTTGATTGACAAGGATGAATGGTATGGGTTTTAAGCAAGACACATATATCTACATGTATTTTCAGAAGATATTAGTTCTTTAGGTGGTAAAAAGGAGAAAAGTATTCCATCTCTAAGTAAGTCTCTCTTTTTCTTGAGAAATGAGCTTTTGCCTGGCCAGGTGGCTCAGTTGGTTGGAGTGTCATCCAATACACCAAAGGGTTGCAGGTTTGATTTCCGGTAGGGGCGAGTGTAGGAGGAGACAGATCAATGTTTCTCTCACATCAGTCTCTCTGTCTCTCCCCGCCCCCAACACCTTCCTCACTCTCTAAAGTCAATAAACATATCCACATATCTACAGGTGAGGATTTAAAAAAAGGAGAAATGAGCTTTCTAGATAGCATTAGGCTATGATTGAAATATTCAGGTTTAAAAAAACATGACAGTTATTTTGACAGCTTATTATCAAATTTTTGCTCTTACCTGAAGAAAAATATTTAGCACAAATATTAATTTCTATCAAAACTTTTTATACTTGCTAATTGGACTAATAACTGTGAAAACATGATTTTAGGATAATTAAATTAAGTCATATAATGCTTTTGCTAAAATAGGTGTCTATAAATATGTTTTTGATAGTAATGTGGAATAGAAATATGGTAATTGGCCCTGATATTGTTGCATTTGCAATGATTAGTTCAAATTGAATAATTCTATAGTTGATAAATTAATAACAGTGTCATCACTTTCATTCCAAAACTGAAATAAAGTACTGCATGTCCAATATTGTCCCATTGACCCTTAAACATAAATACACAGAGACTTGAGTTATAGGGCAAGTCTCTCACAATTCCTCAGAGGAAATTGTTACTTATAAACCAAATGAATTTTCTTTAGATTGTGTAAATTCCAAGGGCCTCATCATAAGAAAGCCTCATTGGGTTCACAGAAATCTTTTTGACCTTCTAAATGTGCATTGCCTGACACTAGCAACGGATCTATCTCTGTTACCTGTGAATACACTGCCCGAACGCTCACTGCAGCCTGGAAGAACAGAAGCATATTCCCATGTCCTCAGTGTCTCCTATGAACAAAACTTTCCACAAAAATGCACCAAAACAAATGGACTAAATAGCTACTGTAAAATATTGGGTAATGACTCCTATCTATTAATGTACTTGGTAATCCTATAGAAAGCTCTAAGAATACAGTATTATGCGTACTGCTTTTTTGCTTTAAAATATTTCTTCATAATAATTCAAGAGAATTGATATGGATTTTTCTTTCTTAAAAGTAAGCAATATAAGAAATATTCTTTTGAATGTGGAGACTGAGTAAGAGGTATACATATTTCTATGTAATTTTAAATTAAAGAAAAAGTCCTCAGCCAAGGAGATATAGTCATTGATTTGAGAAAACAAGAGAAACAGCAATCGGTTGCCTCCTGTAGAGCCCGAAGTGGGGATGGAACCCACGACCTAGGTGTGTGCCCTGAGCCAAGACTGAACCTGCAAACTTTTGGTGTATGGGACGCTGCTCCAACCAGCCGAGCCACCCAGCCAGGGATCTACCATATTTTACCATGTATAATGCACACTTTTTGCCCAAATTGTTGAGGGAAAAGTAAGGGTGCGCATTGTACATGGTTATAATGATTACATACCATGGGTATAATAATCCTGTGTATAACACACAAGAAAAATGGGTGTGCATTATACTCAGCAAGATACAGTATTTATTTTTGAGACACACTAACATAGTTTGGTGGTTTTTAGTCTTTAATATTTTTTCCAATATGAATTCAAAAGGCTTTACCATATATACTTTTGCCATCTTCCTGTGAAGGAAGTGGACATGCACAAGGGAGAATATAGCCTTGCAATTTCAGGAGAAAAGAAATGAAATACTGTAACTGTGCCATTTTAAATGTGATATGTATGTGGCTTAATTTATTTGAAAACTACCTTTACTTTTAGTGGCCCAATTTTATAACCAAAATTGTTTCAAGTCAGGAGGGAAGGGAGAAATCACTCTGGTAGTGTGAACTCAATTATGTTCCACTTTTTAAAAAAAACCAAACAAACTGCAAATTTATTCTTTGCGTAACAATTTGCTGTGAGCTCCAGAGCTGGCATCTTAGTAATTAAATTGCATAAAAATTTGTATATTTGAAAATATAATTTCTTCTTCTGGAGACCTTTCTCTTTTAAATTGCTTTGGTAGGTGCCTCTGACAAGAGAGAAAACAGAAGAAGCAATAGAATTTTTTTTAAATTAAACTATCTGATTTATCACAATACATCATTTTCAGTAACAAAGTCTAGATCTCAGACTAGTATGTATAATATTTAGGAGGACAGAATCTAATAGAATAAATATAAATGCTTTCTTCCATTGATCAGTCTTTTCTTGATTAGAGTTCATTTGCATTGAGCATATAAGGACATTTACTATTTACTGTTCTCCACATTGCTATGGAAATTCAAACTACACAGGAGTTAAGAAATCTTTGAACTAGTTACAGTTGCTAGGAAACCACTTTCTTGTTGCCTGCACATTCTTCTCATTTCTCCTGTCTCTGGCTGTGCCTGGCTTTCAGACAATCTTACAGTTTGATATCAGAGGGGGAAAATAACAAGACTGCGACACAAAATAAACTACAATAAACCCTTTCATTTAATGGAAGGAAAGAAAGGAAAGTGCTGAAGTGGATCTTTCTGCTGAATCAGCCTCTGAGGGTCCTGTGGCTATTTCGTAGAGTCAGTGGCAGGGCCAGCTCTTCCTGTGTCCTCCCCGGGGGCTTGCAGGAGGTCTAGGCTGCACCGAGATGTGGTCCCAGATCTTCATCCCAACCCATAAAACTACTTTGTAGCAAAATGCTTAAAATAAACATGAATAGATTTTCTCCCACTTGCCCGTACCATTTATTTTTTATTTCTTATTTTTTGCCAATTTCCTGTTTGGTTTTTATTTCCAGAAAGAGCATAGATAAATTAAATAATTTACAGACACATGTCAGTGAATTATAAAACAGACACGCATCCTTGCCTATCTTATATAAAACCAATATTCTCCACAAATACATTTTTAAAAAATAAATGAAGACAATAATGGTGAAGTAACTAGACAGCAATTTGTAAAGAGGTCATATTGCAAGTGATATAGTTCAGAAGAACTGCATGAATGTCCAAGTTTAGCTATTTGCAGACGTATGGCTGGTTACAGGGGAAGGTTCTATCCCTGAATGAGGGGGTGGGCAGTACTTTCAGTTGGTCTTTGAAGATGAGGGAGTAGGTGATAGAGAAGTTCAAAAATGTAATAGGTCCCGGAGGGGAGAGGGGTGATGCTGTGAAAGAATC